CAACTGCTGATTAAAGGGGTGAGTATTTACTGCCTGGTCCCGTGTCCCGTCCTGGACAGCGCAGCACCTCCCCTTTAAAAATTTCTGAGCTGCTAGCACGAGCTAGTGCTCTTACACAGCAACACCACATGCAGTATATAGCACAGTCCAGGAAAATGAATTATGTTAATCATACAACATTACCGTGTGGGGACGTCAGGCTATTAACGTTAAACGATGTTAAAGACTGCAAAAACACAAAGGTGGGATCATTCATTAGATGCGTTTGTTTGAAAACAAAAACAGTGATGTGTTGGCGTCTAAGCTCAATGGTACAGTAGCGTTGAGTGTGGATGTTGTAGTGTGGTTTTGCGTATGTGTGTGAACCCATACAGCAGCACTCCTGAGGGAAAGCAAATTGTGAGGACACAAAAGTACATTTAAATCACTGCACTTTAATGACGTCAAAACAGAAGAGTCAAAGGAAAAATGTTAGAAATCTAAGAAACAAATCGGCAATTAATAAATATAAAACACATACGACAGAAATGGATGAGCAATAAAGGGAAGGGTAGAGTGTTTTGTGATCGATGGTGCAAATGAAGACAAAATCATCCTATGTGCAAATGCTAAATCTACAACAATACAGATTCATTTAATGGTTCAGTACCAGGGCTACAGATGATGGGCATAAATCTAAAATGTACAGAAGGAGGGCACATAACTAACCCTATTAGTGCTGAGCCGCTGGATTTTGTGTGTGCTTGTGGAATGGAATTAGTTTCTCGTTCATAACTCATTGTGTCTTTACAATTAGAGCACAGTAACCCTCCTTTATGGTATGGGTGGAATTACAAGATACAGATTCAGCAAATTAACTAGTTAAAGTGCGGCTACAAAAGGTCTTATGTGTTTGTAACCTCCAAAAGAGCATTACGTCTTGACCTATCAAAGTGTATAATGGTGGATGTTCACACTGAAAGCTCAAGAACAAAAACAGGCATGGTTTGAATGCCGAGTGACCTTTTTAAGAAAAGCATTTTATTGAAGACAAACAGTTTCATACACTGGTGACAGTAAAGTAAAGAGAGCAGGGTAGGGGTGGAAAATAAAAGGGGAGAGAAAAGATGGGAAGCCTAATATTGGTCCATCACAGCCGTGGCAAAACGTTCACTTGAAACCCCCAAGAGTGCACTAGAGGTGTGTGCGATTCAATAAAATTGTTGATGTATTACAGAAAAAGTGCAGAGCTTGTCTGTCAACAGAGTAAATGAAGACTCCATCATCCAATGTCCTTAAATATAAGCGTTCCCTAGACAGCAGCTCAACTGAAGTGCTCCAAGCATTATATCACACCTTGAAAAAGTTGCATTTTGTAATTAATTTTATTCCCCACCCAATCAATCGAGCTACCCTGCATCCACTGCTATATCTCGGGGGGAAACGATTGTTAAGTTGTGCCACAGCTGCGCGTGTGCTGTTTGCGGCTGAGCTCCGCTGTGTTCCGAACGACCGAGCGTTACCTCTCTGGTTTTCTGGGCGTTCAGTTCGGCCTGCCTCTGCCTCTCTAGCTCCTGCAAAAGCTGTGCCTCCATGATGCGCTTCGCCTCCTCTACCCGCCGCAAGACCTCATGTTCGATCTCGTCACGCCGCTTCTCAAGCTCCTCCTCTACACGCCGTGCCACGAGCTCCTCCACACGCCTTGCCGTTTCCTCCTCAATCAGACGCTCCTCAATCTCCTGCTGACGGCTGCGGAGGACACAAGAAAGAAAGGATCAAACATTGCAGGGTTTTTTTTGCATCAGCAAGCCCTTAAATTATACACAATGATAAAAAAAAATAGAGTAAATAACTCCTCATAATCAGGGCTAACAGTAAATGATTGTGTTTGCACAATCAGGACAGTAGTTCCCTGCCTACTGCCTTGACAACATTTTTAAAGGCCCCCCATTTAAAAATTGAAAGCAAAATTGATTAATTCAATTTTTTATTTTTATAAATTAAATTGTTCTCATTTTTAAATAATAATTAAAATTAGATACTATTTAAAAATATTGTATTTAATATTTAAATGTAATACTATTTTTGTGTATTTGTTAATTATTTTGTCAGAAAAAGTTACTGTAGGATTACAATTTTGTATTTAGCTATTTGTTAATGATTTGGAAAACATATTTAGTTTCCTTTAAATGTATGAAATTATTTTTCACATTTTAAATGAACATTTTTAACAAATGTGTTTTTTACAAAGAAAACGTGCAATTATAGCCATAAATTATAGATATAATCATATAAGGAAACTCCAAGATAGTCATAAAAACCAGCACTTGCTATCAAATCATCAATGCAATTTAACCAAAGGCTCATTTATGTTAGCCAGTTTGATAACCTTTGCTAACGTGTTTAAAAAGTTAACATAAAAACAAAAGAAAACATGGATTTCTGTGGAATTTGGTTTGCGAAAGGTGCTTAATTTTGCAAACCTGGGGCCCGTTCTTCATGCTTCGCTTAACACATCTGAGATGACTTGAAAGATGCCAGATCTTCTCAGAGATCTAAACTGATCTCTGGCTAATTTGGTTCTTCAAACGAATTTGCGGATT